CCAAAATTATTTCTCTTTGCATTCCAAAAAACTTGAAATATTTTCTGACACCAGTTATAGCAGACTAATTTTGAACGACTGGCACCAAATGAGAGGAATAAATCACGATACCTTTATTGCCAACAAATTCTTCGAAACTAATGAGGCCATCTTTGTTCAGATCCTTCTCGTCCAAAGTGTTTGTCAGTAAGATTGGCAGCATATCAGCAAAATCTTCGGGATTGCAAAATCGTTTGTATTCTGTCGCATCCAAAACACCATCTCCGTTCGAGTCAGCCGCTTGAAACAATTTCTTGTCAGCTTTCAGCAGCTAAACAAGCATCAAACAATTCTTAGCAAGAATAAAAATAAGGTTTTTAACTAACGAATCTTCAGAAACCGACCATTTCGTCCTCTAGAGATGCCTCGTCGAAGTCGGTTTCCTCTCCAAAAGAATCTGAAAGTTGTTCCTTCCACGATATTTTTCCATCTTTATTTGCATCAGCATCTTGAAATCGTTCAGTAGCTTCTTCGTCAGATAATTTTCTGTAAATTGAAAAAGGAAAAGATTGATTTTGTCAATTAAAAGGCCAATGTGCAGAAATATGGAAGTTATTGGGGCTCACCAGAGGAGTAGTGAGATGAAAGGGTAGGTTTCTGACTGTCTTATGATGCAGAAATTTTATCGAGCAATTTCAAAAATATTTTAGTACAGACGAAGGTTCACAATTTGTAACCAATAATTTGAAATAACCTCTTATGAGCTGCTTATCAAAAGAGTATTGATATCTGCCTCAGGTCTAACTACTAGGGGTCGGTAGGACTGGAAGCAGAAAGTCCCACTGAAGGTGTTAACTGAGCTCAATTTTAGTATTTTCACATCCTTGCTTTGGCAAAATAGCACACAACCAAGAAAAAGGTTACAAAATCATAATATCAGTGAAGTGAAGCCATGAGGATATCTGCAGCTACTGGTAGGGACATGAAAATGCATCCCAAAGTTGTAGACCTAGTGGCAATTTTTCTGATGAGAACATAAAATTTTAAAATGTATGTAGTAGGTACTTTCAATTAATCGGATACATTCGTCTGTATCAAAAGCCAAAACAAAGAATCCAGTGAGAGCATATGATCAACTTGA